CTCCAAAGAATTATCTATGATACTATTAAAAAAACAACTCTGGCCCAACTTTTGACTTCTTTTGCAGACTTTTATAATATTCACAAAAGAAGCTAAACCAAGAAGAGGAAGTGGCAGGTGAGCAGTTCAACTGAGTGAGGGCACTGCTCAGCTGTTTCCAGATCTCCTCTGTAAATTCTAATGGGTTACAGCAGGAAAGAATAATTATCTATAAGGAAATGAGTGATTAAAAAATAACTGAAATTTTGACTAAAGCCTAACCCAAACATTTTGGACTTGCACTTGAAGTGCAAACAAATAAACAGGTTCACATTCATTCACCCTGTCTGATGCAGGACCCTGCTCCCCTGCCTCACCAACTCTGTACTTAGTCTATAGTACACACATGCATTATGTTGGATGTCTGTTGCCAACTAATTCTTTAATTTTAACTTTATAAACAGCCTTTTGAAAATCCATTATTGTAGTTGCTTTTAATTCCAACAGCTTCATTAAACAGCACTATCCCTTAGATTTCTGTTACCACACAACACATCATTAGATCAGGTGGGTAGCTGCATTAGCAGGCGTAGACCGCAAAGGAACAAGTAATAGGTTTATTACAAGCTGAAAAAAGAGAGAAGGCTCCACAGCCTAAACATTGTGTTTTCTTTCTTCTCTTTTCAGCATCGAGTAAACCCATTACTTGTTTCTTTACTAATCATTAATTTAGCTCTAAATGATCAATTACTTCAATTCCAAATGAGGTCAAAGGTAAGGGTCTCTAATGACCCTCACTAGGTTTTGTGCACTCTTTCCAATTAGTGTTTTACTATTGGATAATCACTGCATCCAGAATTCTGCCAAGATTACATTTATTCATACTGAATTTATGTAAGGAATGACATCCTTTTACTTGAACTATGGATGGATGTGGTCAACATGGATCCTAGAACACCTTTGATAGGTCTTTACGGTCTCCATCAGAACTTTGGAAAATGACCAATGCAAATATCTCAAGGGTCTAACCATTAATTGTATTTCACGTAAATCAAGTCATGAGAGATTCTTGATTGTGGTCTTCAGTACTGGAGCCGATTGACTTTTTTGGAACCACTAGAGGGAGCTCCACCACTACAACATTAGTTAACCTTGTAATACCAGATCTTAAAAAGAAAAAGTCTGTAAGTTGTCATATGAGAAATGACTATTTTTATGCCGTCAGACTCTTGCATTTAAATTCAAGCCGATTGACTGCAATGGATAAATTCTTAAGGGATTAGTATACGTTTGTCTCAATGCGTCACACTTTCTCTTCCAGTGTTTGCAAAAGGCCAGGCCACAACTGGACAGTATCGAATGCTTGCCAAGAAAGGAGGGTTTGTTTGGGTGGAGACACAGGCCACTGTCATTTACAACACCAAGAATTCCCAGCCCCAGTGCATTGTGTGCGTTAACTATGTGCTTAGGTATGTGCATCTTTTCTACAGTCTAAATTTTCTGGTGAAACAGTAAAAATGGGCAGTTTCCATGTTCCATTATGGTTATCACTTTCTGAAATCTGCTTATTTTGTTACATAATAGGTGCTCTTCTGTAACTACTGCAAAATGTCACATTTTGTTCTACAGTGATTTCCTGGATATGTAGAATAAATGTGATAATTTGAGCCTGTCCTTGATTGTGCTCTCTCTCACCAGTGGGGTTGTGCAGGAAGATCTGGTGTTCTCGCTGGGTCAGACGGAGAGTGTGTTAAAACCTCTGGAGAGTCCCGACGTAGAGATGCCCAAAATTTTCACCAAGGCGGAGGATCTCGAGAGCAGCAACACCCTATTCGAGAAGCTGAAGGAGGAACCTGAAGCCTTGACTCTTCTGGCCCCTGCCGCTGGAGACACTATAATCTCCCTGGACTTCACCAGCTCAGGCGAGTTCGGCTGCTGCACCCTCACAATCACAACTCTATAGCCAAGTGCATTCCTAAGCTTTAATACAGCCGCTTTTTGTCACGTCCAAATGAACCATTCAGAATAGCATGCCAGTCAGTATTGTACTGAAATGCAACTGTGAAAGGCGAGTAGATAGCACAAGATGTGACGGTTCAGAAAACGACTGTAGCCACTTCTGATGCCGTCTCTTTATAAA